TGAAAATAAGTCAACATAGAGTTTAGTTTCTCAACTTCATATCTGCTAATATGTGCCATGAAGGCATATTATATCAAACACTAGATGTTAACCATGAGAGTACAGCAGAAAAAACTGCCAAAATAAAACAACATCGCTTCTCATTTGAGTGATCGCACATGAAATACCCGCCTCTGAATAAGTCCATTCAAGACATAGGCAAAAGTAACCGTCTATGGCCGAATAATCCTCCTCCCGTGTAGATAAATGTCGACCTCGCTGTGTAACACAACAATACGACTGAACAATTAAACAAATTACCCTTAACTACTTTGAAAATAAAATACGTAGTATATGACGACAGCATCATGAATTGGCACAATTAACTCCCAACTGCACAAAATCAAAGAAAGCATTACTGTAGATGCACACAGTGAGCAAACATAACATAACATTCTTGTCTAAGAATCAACCGGTAGTTTTCAAATGAGTGAGGAACCCTATTCAGTACTATTTAATGTGCTGCACACGTCATCCAAAGAACTACCAATAGCTTGCTGTAGACTATTATTAATATCTCACGCCTTCGACTGTTGGGAATTGAAAATCCGATGGTTGGACAGAAACGAACTTCATCAGGCAGCGGACCAGTAGACAAGAATTTATGGCTCGAAAATATGCGGAAGTAAACGGAGGTTGATCGGATATACGCCAATTAAAACCACTGAGTGACATATCATGCCACGCTTCGAAGTGGAAGCTGAATGGGAAGCATACCAGTCAGTTTAGGTCCAAGAGTTGGTTCAAAGAAGCAGATTAAATGAATAGGTGATAAACTTTTGTGAGCAATCGTGAACCTAGCGAAAATAATAATAATAATTTGCTTTATTCCAGAAACAGTGTTAGTGGTACAGTGTGGAATTTTCAACAAATATCTACAATATTTGCATCTAATTTTATCCAACGGTTAAAAGGAGCATTTTCAAAAAAAATAAATATAAAGAAAACAACAGCGAAAAACTCGAAAAACACAAAATAATTTGAAAAAATGCGAAAAAATACCAAGAAGTAAAAAAGAAAATAAACAGCATATAATAATAACTCGGTATTGGGTAGTGGAAGCTATGATATGATCATGCATGGTGACAATAAAGCTGTAGTCATAAAAGAAGTTATGAAATGATATTTAAGAATGTTTATCGCCAAGATGATCAGTTAATTTGGTTGAAACAACACTAAACAATCATAAAATAACATTCCAGGGTTGTTTTTTATCAGGTCTAATGCGGTGTTTGTAGTGGTAGTGTGAGTAATCCTGCATAAAACAAAATTTTTTAAGATGGTGGTAATGGCGTTCACAACCAATGATTGCCAGTTTAATATTGCCGAAAAAAAATAAAAATAAGAAAAAATCACAAAAACTGATAATTACATGATGGTTAATCACAGGACAATTTTGTACTACTGATAGTGCTAATATAGTCGGAACCAGTAGATACACAAAAGAAGGAATATAGTAAAGTACAAAAGTGAGCCAATGTTAACAATTTAGGTAGCTAAGTATGTTTAAGAAGGAGTTCACTATAGAATACAAAATAAGAGAGAAATAAAAGAGCCTGAAATTATGTTATTAACAACAAAGCAATTCATAGGTTTCGCGCTTAATATTGTCTCTGTCACTTAGAACACGGGACAAGTATGGTATCGTTGAGTTCCTGTACTTGGTTGTACGAGCATAGATTATTTTATACTGATTTCTGGTTCTGCTTGATGAGGTACAAGGCGAGAATTTGGAATAGAGGGGTTGTTGGCGGTCGGAGAGTATGGTTTTAGACCATTTTTCGTATGTATTCAGATGCCTTTCAACTAATGTAGTGACGAGCTGACTGAGTTTTACACCACTAGTCCTACTGACTACCTTCAACATCCTTCTCAGGATGGCATAGTCCTTTTTCAGTAGACCAGGAAAGACTAACGGGAGCAGTAAAGTAGAATAGGTAAGATACAAGAGTTGAGAAATTGTGAAAGTAGAGGTTGGGTGATTCCAGATTATCTAAGTTTCTTAATGTAGTAGGTTAGACAGAACACTTTCTTAGGAATCGTTAGGATATGAGATGTTCAAGTAAGGTTGGAAGATAGAATTAGACCGAGGTATTTTGCATTAGACTTAGTTTCAATTTTAGTCCCATTGGGACATTTGACAAAACCATTCATGTGTATGTATGCATACATATGAGCTCGAAAGTTCCAAAATATGAGATCGAATCATCAGTTCTCGAATGAAAAAACCTTCTTTTACTTCCATAATGCTTTAGAAATATTCTTTCAGAAACTAGACTTTCTCTCATTCCTTGATTTCTGTGTAGAATATATGCTATTCAAGAAGGTTTCAAAGTTTCATTAGTGGTGGTATTGTTCTCTTACAGGATAGTGCTACTCTCTACACTCACTCCTCAAACGTTCGTCTTTTCTGGATTAACTATCAAATAGAAAACTATTCAAGGTTAGGCGCAATGCATCGTCTAGACATCGAACTCGGATCACGTGTAGCGTGGATGGCATGCATTTTACCATTGAAGAACAGATACAATATGGAAATGACCGTGCGCTTTTATTGCAATTATCCTGAATCTTGTGCCTGTTGAAAATTTAATTTATACATCAGTCGTCTTGTTGCACGATATTCCTCCAAAAAGGGATCTCTCTGATTTTCTCTTTGAAATAAATTAACGAGTTGAAGTTAACTTGATTAATTGTTCATTTTCCACTAACCATTCACAGTCAGCTTTTGGTGAAGAAGTATCACGAATGATTGAGTTATTTCCACTCTTCTTTATTCTAGTTCTTCACGTTTGGGTGATTAGCAGGCAATCTTTTTATCTTTATTTACAATGTATCAACTGGCTTTTTAGTATTCCGTTGCAGCTATTTCTTCGCGGAACTACCTTTTTTGTTGCAAACACTTGTCTACTGATATTTGCTTATAGTAATATAAATAGTATGGATAAACATTTTGCAATTTTGCATATGTTTTCACTGTTGTAGTATACGTGGATTGTGGGACATGACCACACATGCGTTGGTGGCACAGTGGTTAGGACTCTCGCCGACCATGCTCATGGTCCGGCGTTCGATCCACTGACGACGCACACCCGATATCTATGGTCGGCCTGCAAAATTCGGGCTACCGATATCCATGCTGAAAATTCCATACTTGTACTGAAAATACGGTGTGGCATCATGCTGTCATCAAAATAAAAAAAAATAAATAAATAATAAATATCCTCCTGATGGCGGTGATACAAGTATACGATAGATTTTTAATGTTTTGGTTAGCTTTCAGTTTTAGTGAGAACTTTGTATTTGTCTAGACAGATTGGGAATTGTAAATATAACAGTGACATTGAAACAACGAGATAGACAGGACGGAGTGAACAGTCTCCTCGGATTAACCCAGTGAAGATCGCAAATGAAAAGGTTCTTAGAAATGGAAAGTACTAAATGATTTGAAAGTTCTACCTAGATCATTTATCATTATAAGTTCCATAAAGGTGGACAGCATCGACCTTTAATCAGTAGGTAGAAGACGCAGCACAAGTTTTACGCGAATCTATTCAGTGTGTCAGTTGGCAAAGAAGTTCAGTGTTTTTAAGAATAATCAGCAGCTCTCTGAAATGGACTGGGTAACTATGGGGCAAGAGAAGTGCCGAGAATCAAAGAACTTTGCATACTTGATTTGTTGTTGGATGGGATTCAACAAGCTAACAAAACTACTGCACCGAAGCAACTGCAACAGCCTATAAACCAGTGGGATCGGTAACCTAATCCGTTTATTACATTCCTGTGCCGTCAAGCTTTTTATTGGCATATTTATTTCTAAAGAAGGTTTAAGTTATTCATCGTAATAAATGCCTTTAATTACTGTTATCTATCTTCATAATTCAGCTAAGATTTTCGACATTGAACAAGATGTCGTGGATCTTGGTTTTATACTTATCGGTACTCATCAGATGTCATGACGTATTATCAAACCTTGAAGAAACTCATCCCCCTTCCCGTCCCTATGGGACTTGAATTCCCTTCACCACGTATCTCATTCAGTGGTGTTACTACTGAGCTATATATGACCGATTAATTCATACGTATATTTTGGTGCCAGCCAGGTCAGCCAGAATGCGAACGATCACAACTGCTCTCCACTGTTGTTCAGATCACTGATATCTGGCTGGTAGACAGGTGATATTGATGGATTTGAGTAGTACCCATTTGGACGAAATATTACCATACTGAGTTATAAGAAGAAGACGTAAACAACGAAGAAAATTCTCTTTTCGACGATTCATTTTCACAAGCTGTACAATTGTAATTATATTTAACAAAGAAATTATAAGAACCAATCAGATACTGGTTGAATTTGTCTTCGAAAAACGTATAACTTAGTGTTAGGTGTATCTTACATTGGATGACTGACTAAATGGAAGTTAGAAAAGAGGCAGAAATTGGCATGATGCAATCAGTTTGGGAAAATGACGAGTCAATATGGTTGTGTAGAATGGGTAGGAACTAGTGAAAAGACGATAAAGCGTTTTTTATATAAAGTCTGTATGAAGAAGGAATGTTATTAATAAACAGTTATACAGTGATAATAATAATAGCAATAATAATACTTAACTTAATAGGAAAAGAAGCAAAATTATAGTAAGAACGTTACTCTGGCCACGGTAGGGCAAGTGGAAGTATGTGGTGCTTTCGAATGAACAGGTCGGGTTTCAGATCCCGAATAGCCCATGATTCAGTTATGTACACATGGAGTATGCGAAATCCCATTTTACGATATTGAACGTCAGTGTTTTCATACTGAGCACTAAAAATATGAGGATGAACGAAACCGTACAGTGTTCACTGGTCAATTTCAAAAAGGAGATGATTGTTGTGAAAATGTGGAACAAATCTAATATGACTGGCGTCTAACACGTTTCTGAAAAGAAACGAGGAAAGAATTTGAAAGAACTTTAAAAACATCATGACTTGAGTAAACGCAGTGTCAAGCTTTTTAAATAATTAATTGATGCATATATGATGAAACCGATGAGTTCAAAACATTCAAATAAACCAATCACAGATATACCAATCCACAATCCCATATTACCGCCAACATCAGATAATAATCGAGACAGTGGGTATTCATTTTCTTCGACAACTAGTCTGCCACGAGGGCTAACACGTTCTACCCGTAATAAAGCAAAATTATTACGTAACTGGCGGAGTACTTCTTGTTGTGCTGATTCATTTCGTGATACCACCTTCATGTATTCATCACTTGGAATATGACCAACACCGTGAATATTTTCGTCACTCATAATCTGATTTGCCAGGAGATGGAACATGTTGATCAGAAAGTCAGTTTTGGCTTGATTATGCTGCGCACTACCCCATAAATCTGCCATTGGATTATTCACCATACCGAAGTGATTATACCTCACTTCATCACAATTCGTCGATTGTGCATAGAATTCACAATGTTGAGCTTTCTCTAAGCTCAAATATAAACTGGCATTTCTGTACTTTTTGAATACACGCTGCATACAATTCAAATTTCCCACCAATTGATAGTCATTGAATACTGACATATTCAAACACAAGACTGGCTGTGATACTGATCCATTGGTGTTCGTATTATTATTATTTTTATGATTATTATGGTCATTACTATCAGTTATATTGAGTAAATCAGGGAAATAACCATACGGGAGAAATGGACTATAACAATGACATTCTTGTAGATATAAATACTGGGACAATAATCGATGGCATAAATCTCCACCAGTATCATAAATTCGACGTTTTGTCACTAGATCAGCGTCGTATATCATTGCTGAATACTTCTCGCTATGACATCGTCGCTTTTCTTGATTACGTTGATGACGTACCATTTCTATTTGTACATGATGAATATATCCAGGGGTTAATTCAATCACTCCTCTGACAGGAAAATGATTTGGTGATGTGATGTATACATCAATGATGTGTGGATAGTACGAAGAATTAATAATCAAATAACTATGGAGATTAGATTTTAAATAGAATCCAAGTTTTTCTATTCTCTTCATTATTGATTTGTTTAAATAACGCGCAATCTAAGTGAAAATATAATAATAATAATAGTGATAAGCAGCATCGCAGAAGCATCAGAGTGAATTTCAGCATAGATTTAACTGCCACTTAACTAATCAGTGAAGAACCAGGCAACACGGTGACACTTCAGTATTATGCACTCATAATGACATCCCCAGCTATCAGACTCAGGACCTCCAGGTCACAAGTTCGAGCACGTCAACCATCCAGCTTGTTGTCTGGAGATTCATTCACCCGGGGATTCTAACTTTTGTCGAACCCATGATGTAACTCTACCACGAACGAGTGACTTCGATCAGCGTCCACCTCCCTCGATAACGTGAAACCCGCTGACCATGTCCTGTTGTCGCTTTCAGAATTTCAGAAGTCCCTCCTAGTATGATTATCCCTCTGGATACAAGTTGGTTTTTTGCTCGGTAATTCGTGACCACAATTAAAGTTCAGACCAAGTGTATCGTCCTATTTTAGAACTCATCATCTGCCTATGCCTGCAGCCAGCAGGAGTGAAAATATTCAAACGTTGTAAGTTGTACTAGGTGAATGTTTTTCAGGTAGATATAGAAAAAATATGGAAGAAAAATTACAACAGAGCAATAAACCTGAACAGCTAGCCTGCTCAGTAACATACGTCATAACTATCATTCTCATAGAAAGAAATAAAACTTATCTGTGTTCATGTATTATCTGTCATGTATTGATCAGATAGCCACATTACGGATCATCATTGAACAAAGCTTTGAATGGCAGTCAACTCTCTATCTCAACTTCGTCGACTTTGAAAAGGCATTCGATAGCGTCGATCGAGAGGTGCTTCGGCAACTACTTCACTACTACGGGGTGCCACCGACAACTATACATCTCATCCAACAGCTGTACGACAATGCTGCATGCCAAGTAATCCACAACGGGAAACTTACGGAATCTTTCAAAGTAAAGACAGAAGTACGACAATGATTTTCCTGATTGCAGTAGATTGGATAATGCGACAGACAGCGGGTAATGAGGAAACAGGCATAAAATGGACTCACACAAAAAATTTGGAGGATCTCCACTTCGCCGATGATATATGTCTGATTTTCCACTTATAAAATAATCTCTAATAATTTTGTAATTTATCCACTTCAACTCTACCCCTTATAACATTTTAATTATCGTTATTCTTATCACATATATGTATATTGACTGAGCAATTATTTAGTGCCACTTAATGACCTTTTCTGTAATATAAATGCGACTGTACAGTTGGCTTGAAAATGAAGTTGTTGAAAAGAAATTTCTTCGCTGAACAAAAAATCTGTGTTTTTACTTATGAAAAATGGGTATTTTTCGTGATTTAAAGGCGTGCAAGGACCGATTGACAGTAAAGGGACTTAGTGAGTTTCTTCGATATTCTGTCAAGCTTGCAGAAGCGAATGCTAATTCTGATACTCTCCAAAGCTACATTAAGAATGGTGAATATCCAAAATTTTACTGGAAAATTTTACGCCGTAATCATATTTATCCTAACGGTCGAACTCTTAAACGTCATACGTTGAACCTGATCGATGCCATACAAACACGTCTCCCTGAACTTGAGAATAACGTATCTCAACGTATGCATTTCTTGTTTGAACTAACAGAGACAGAATGTAGCCTTTTCCAGGATTATATTTCTGATGTCATAAAGAAAAGATCTGAAGATGTTAGAATAAATGTACTGAAAAGTTGCAATACAATCGAATCTCACTTTAAGTTTCCGGATTCGCCAGAAAAATACGTTTTCAACTATTCTAACATATCTTTGTCTGATATTCAAATGCAAATCCTATCTCTCGGTCTGAAGTTCTCTACTTTTTCGTCCAGAGTCAACGAATTAGACACAAAAGTTCAGTTTGAAAATCTCAGGAATCAAACACATGACTTGAGTCCAACGTCTAGTGAAGACGTTGAACAATTTAAATCTGCATTACTTCATTGTTATTATCAGTACCAAAGAACGCAAGGCAGACAACGACATATGTTATCAAAAGAACACAAAAGACAGCTTAATGAATTGCTTAACAACAAAAACATAATACTGACTCGTCCAGACAAAGGATCAGGTATTGTCATTCTTAATCGTGATGACTATGTCAACAAATTATGTACCATTCTGAGTGATGAAGAAAAATGTCAGAAATCACCCGATCAAAAAGACAAGACAGAGAACATTGAGAAAGAATTATCAAAAACTTTGACAAAACTAAAGCAAGAATGCGTCATTACTCCATATATGTTTGAACAGCTTAAACCATCTGGTTCAACTATCCCCCGTTTATATGGTCTTCCAAAGTTGCACAAAGATGATGTCCCTCTGCGACCTGTATTGGATATGCTGAATTCAGCGTATCACCCTACCGCTAAATGGCTTGCGGAAATCCTGGAACCAGTGAGATTAAATCTATGTAAACATAGTCTTTCGGACACTTTTGACTTTGTCAGTTGTGTTGATGAAATTAATGTGTCTGGTAAGCATATGATTTCGCTAGATGTTTGTTCTTTGTTCACAAATGTACCACTAGTAGACACTATCTGCTATCTATGCGAGTATATTGATTCAAATAGCATGAACATTGGATTACCAAGTGAATATCTTAAACAACTATTATTGAGATGCACACTGAATGTGCAATTTAGATTTAATGATGTCATCTACAATCAAAGGGATGGAGTCGCAATGGGGTCTCCTTTAGGACCGCTCTTAGCGGACGTCTTCATGGCTAGCTTAGAGAATGGCCCACTAAAAGAAACCATCGGTAGTTTGTTTATGTATAAAAGATATATAGATGACACTTTCATTGTATATGACGAACACTCTTCAACTGCTGAACTTCTTGGAATATTTAATGGTTCTCACCCATCTTTGCTTTTCACGGTCGAAGAAGAGTCGAATTCCTCATTTCACTTCCTTGATGTAAAGCTAGATAGAAGAGAGAATAACACGCTGTTAAGGTTGATTTACCGAAAGCCAACATACACTGGGCAGTACACTAACTTCAACAGTTGGGTACCGTTAGGGAGGAAGAGAAATCTTATTCATTCCTTATGCTCTAGAATTCGTAAAATCTGCACTGCAGAGACAATCGATAGTGAACTAGATAAGCTTCGATCAAATCTCCTTAATAATGGTTATCCCACAAGGTTTATCGAACGTAATATCAAGAAAGAACACGCCCCCAGACAAATTACAGTGCCAAAGAAGAAACTGTTTATGAGTCTGGCATTCAAAGGTGACACCATTTCGGAATTGATTAAAAATCGTTTATCTAAATGTATTAAACGTACTTTTCCTGCAGCTGACTTACAACTAGTTTTTACCAGCCGAAATATGATTAGACAATGCGTCAAGGACAGATTACCGCTTTTGTCCACATCCATGTGTATTTACTCTTTTACCTGATCTTGTAGAACTGTTTATATTGGACATTGTAAGCGTAATCTCCGAAAACGTGTAGCTGAACACTATCCAGTCTGGTTAATGAAAGGCGAACGTAGAACTGCGAAGTCGTCTATCTGTGATCACCTGTTAGAGTCAGGTCATTTAGCCCCACGTGATTATTCATCTTTCAAAGTTATCTACATGGCAAAATCGAATCGATCGAAAAGTTTATTTTTTCTTCACTTATGCATAGCCAAAGCTTTAGCTATACATGAACAGAAACCTAAATTATGTGTTCAAAAACGTTTTGTCAAACCCCTTTCTTTACCTTGGTCATAGGAATGTTCTTTCTAGTTTTTACTTCATTTTATTTTACCACTTGAATTCTTTCCACTTCACTTCACATCTTCATTCTTATCGTAATCGTAATCCGAATTTTTATAAAAGTTTTAGACAACACTTGACATTTTTAAAACATTTTTCAATTCACTAATAAAACAATCTTTAATAACTTTGTAATTTATCCACTTCAACTCTACCCCTTATAACATTTCAATTATCGTTATACTTATCACATATATGTATATTGACTGAGCAATTATTTAGTGCCACTTAATGACCTTTTCTGTAATATAAATACGGCTGTACAGCTTGAAAATGAAGTCGTTGAAAAGAAACAGAATTTCTTCGCTGAACAAAAACTGTGTTTCTACTTATGAATAAATGGGTATTTTTCGTGATTTAAATAAGTATCTGCAGAATAGCATGTGATGGAATACTACCGGATGATTGAAACAATAAGAATTCCATATGTGTTCCAACTAATCACGCATTTCATCACATATTCACTTAGTCTGTTGCTCTGTATGGTGTCCACGGCATTTGTAGGAATGAAAACAAAGTCTGTTTGCATGCCTTTCATGTTGACTGAATATGCTTCATATCCTCCTTGGAAATAAATGAACTACAGGCTAGATCAGTGTCGAAAGAAGAATCCATCGTTCATCAATGAATTCGTTCGCAATGATTACTGGTGCTATTGATATATGCATGTGTCCATACAGAATTCATTTACACGTAAAGCAGTTGATTTCCAGATAGAATTCGCAGGCCTCAATAATCACCTTGTTGTTCAGTGAGTATACTTGTAGAGGAGATATAGTTATAAATGCAAAGACCGGAATTGTTGTTCAGCTGTTTTGAATTGGAGAATGGAAAATACACCGATAACATTGTGAAGGAGATAAGGAATACCTGTCTAACTGTTACAGATACCGTGTTCACTAACAGATACAAATGACACCGATTCACTCTTAGATTGTGTGGCTATGTAGCAAGTAATGATATTTCGCCCAACACAGTCGAGTAAATACCTGAATTCTTCTTCACTATTAGTTGTTATCAAGTCTCTATAAGACACAAAACCACACACAGTGACACACAGAAATAAAAATGAAAGAGAATCAGACATCTCTATCCATATTTCTCATAATGAATAACCTACCGAGAAATTCCACTGACTGTATGAACAACACAGTTAGTGTACTCGAAGACGACGTAGTCGAAAGAGTCGTCATTCCACAGATATCAGATGAGATCATACAACCACTGAATAAATGAGGTGGACGAATAGTCTATAGAAACATGGACGTTACTTGAAAGTCGAGGAAGAAGGAAGTAAAGATTGTAGAGGCGTAAGCAATGAAAATGATCAACAAGAGGTTGCATGTCATGAGGACAACTGCTTCACTTCCATAGTGTTCAAATCATTTGAAAAAGTGTTTTACATAAGAAACATGACACACGAAATTCTACTTCTATTTTCTGAATAGGAATAACGACTGAAGATGGGATGTAATGAAGCCTCAACAACATCAACAGCAACTCCTTCAACATGAATATGATAGTTAGTGTGCATCACGTAGACACAAAGCGTTTCAACGAGTCATACAATTATGAAGACTGAAAATCCGTTGGTGTATTGTCTTTCTATATTCACTAACTCGAAAAGGCCGGAAATACTCTGGTTAGAATGTTAGCATCTTCAATATTTCTTCACCTTATGATATTGATATGTTGAACTAGTTAATGTAATTTAATGCAGGTGTGATTTCCTTACTGCTTATGAGGGAATTTTCTTGACACACTAACAGTAGAAAGTCTCCTGATTTTTGGTGTCATTTTACTGAACTGTGGCAGAATAAATGTTGATATTTCCATTCTCTTTAAGAAACAGCTAATCTCAAGATAAGTGTTTCCTTTTCATTTGACTTGATCAAACAACTCGGGAAAATGGATGGGAGCATATTCATGATAAAGATAATTCACTCTCAGCTTTATTCTATGAGGGCTTGAAGGTTTGTATTTTTGAAATGGTTTAGACAAAGTTGTCTTTGTGTGTGTGTGTTCAGCTGAATATCTGAAGTGCAATCGATTAGAATCTACTCATAATAACATGTAACTGAAGTCTGTTTGTGTTAGAACTCAATTGATTGACTGACAAGTAAACAACGATTATTCCATATTTCCCTCTGCAAAACTGTCAAAGTGTTTAATAAAGAGTAAAACTGAAAAAGCTGTGTGCTAAGTGAGCGATAAATGATCACCAGTGATAAATCTAGAAGCAACATTTCTGAACTCCGGAAGTACATTCAGTCACAGTTGATGGAGCAAATATCCGAATATTAAGCAACCGAATTCGATGTGTAGCTCGCAGGTTCACTGAGTGGTGAGTGACTGATGATCAAATGAAACAGAAGGAATAAGTGCGGTGCCCCAGTTTCTATCACAAGAGGCAACTGAGAACGCCGATTTCTTGTAAAAAAGTGGCAACAAACGAAGGGTTCGGTGAGCAAAGTTAGTTCCTATCACTTATCTTCTGCGAATCTCATCGTAATTGAACGGAATGTCCAAAATATCTTTTAGTCTTGACCATATCACGAGAACAAGTTAAATTGCAATCGAAATTATTCACATTGAAGGTAAATTATGGAGTCTTGGAACAAGATCAGACAGTGGCAATGTAATGATGGCGATGGTGGCGAACTGTGACATATAATGGCATCTAGATACACTTCATGCTAGTCGCCATGATCAGATGTCAGAATGATCGATCAGCAATGTGCGTCGATGATAACAAATTCACCACTTCACAGTACGGAGTCTCCCACCATCCATGTAGTCCTGAATAACGGTGGACATTGAGGGAGGATTTTATCGTGACAGTGAAAAGTTGCGGCTTACATGTTCCGACATTGCAATGTGGTACTAAGTAAGCCTTACACAGCACCCACTATCAACTGGCATTCAACTCGTAAGTCACGTCATCTAAACAACACGCAGAAATTCCGTTGTGCTTCTGTTGATGAGGACTCCTTGATTCACAGGGTAAGTGAAATTAAGATTAAGTAGAATACGTGGACTTCTGAGAATACTAAACAAAGAACATTTCGATTTCTTGTAAGAAGTCTGCAATGATAATTTTGCATCCAGAATTCGATCTTGTTAACCAGACATTTGCGTTGAGCGTTGAATCCTGAACACTGGTCTTGCTGACGACTAAGAGACGTACTGAACATAAGATTAACGATGAACAGAAATAATTAACTTGAAATAGTCAGGTGTCCAGGTTGGATGATGTGAAAACCACTGTCATTCTTCGTTTATCAATAAGACAAGAGTAGATCTGCGTGAATGTGCAGATGTACTGATCAAGAATGAATAGGTTCGCATGAGAAAACTTCTCAGTGAGACAGAAGGACAGATTGGAGCATAAAGAAGGCATGCAGAGTAAATCCCTCTTTACCATGAGAAGGTGATTACTACAATTCGAAATGAATGCCAGTACAATGGATGCAGAGAACTTCAACGGAAATGTATGTTTATCTTTTGGGAGCAGATTATACACGCAGACTACAGAAAACAGACAAGTTGTTTAAATTAACGTAGGTGGGTAATATCAACAAAGTTGGTTAACATTGAATGGAGGACATATTTGAAGAAGGAGTGAGTGTCACTTGTGAATAGCCAGAATACTATTTAGTATAACATTACACAAGAACAACTGGTCTTAACTTTCATTTCGCATTACGTGTTAAAATCACTTATCCGCGAAATAACCCACACATTCTTGTCAATCTGCGCTGCTGACACGCTGCTTTTGTCTGAATAGGACTTTGAAGCGATATTCAGACGACGACGCGTTTTTGAAGAGGGAGTTCGGCAGTTTAGGAATTACGCGCCACTTGGATCTTTTACTACAAATGCTGTTCGACTTCCACATGATAATCTGTATGAAGTTGATTCAATTCCACCACCAAATAGTCACTTGCTTTTCCAGATGTGATGCATAGACTGGTCCGTTTTTATCACGATGCCGTTATCTGTAGAACAGGCTGTTCAAATGAAATAGACTACTAACTGTAGTTTACAAAGCTTTCTACTGTGACCACTAATCAGCAGTTATGTTTTTAATCTATTAATTTCAAGGAGATTCCGAACATGTCGTACGACTGCAAATCCTCTAGATTATAACAGCCTCTTAGTAAACCGTCATCACTGGAAGCTCAATAAGTGCTTGAGACAACGTGGAATTTATGGATTCTCTTAGATCAGTTTGAAGTGCTCATTCCATGGGCACGATAACAAACCTGTGAGTAGAATGATGATTAGATCACATTGAGTGAATTAAACCAATCTTATCTAAATTTTGTTCTCACTAGGCTGTGTCACATTTAGTAAGCCTAACAATCGCTTGCTAGCAATATATCGAGCACAGTCTGTTCATATTTCACTTATTCATTGATTGTATTAATTTTGCATTTTGAAAGCCAAAGTATTACTAGTTTTGTATTCGTGTTTAACTCAAGGTTATTTTGTATTTGTGACGTTTTATTCTATTTTTGTCTTCAAAGAAGATATCAAAACGATATGTGGAAATGGCACTCCATAGAAAATCGTTCAGTTGTGAACAGATATGCTTTGCTGTCACGTCATTGATCTGTAACTGTCATATATCTTGCCCAGTTTGTCACTGATATCAAATGAATTCAATCAGAGTCGCATATTGACATTTGACTATCTGTATAATAAGAAAGTATTTACCTGCAGTTCATGCTACTATTAGTATCTCATTATTCACACCCGCATTTCGATTTACTCCCAGGATATAATTTCTTAAATAACTACGTATATATGTATACATATATGATTGTGCAGCTTGATAATCGACTGTTTGATGAGAGTCTCTTCGCTGTATCGTCTCCTTTGATTTTGAAAATATCCAAATCGGGAATTTTCAAACGAGACGGACATTTCATTATGCATATAATTTTTGTTGGTGAAAATATTATCTCGTCATCCTGCAATCAGTGTTTTGCACCTTGAAATCTCGAGATCTGTGAATACGTAACCGGCGTAAGTGCTACCAGCGACTCGACCTACCACCATACTGCTTCAATGTTACGGCCACGATCACTACTGACAAATACTTGGATTAAAAGTGTTGAGGCTTCGATATCAGGTTGCATGTCAGCCCATTCAGTCACATCATGTTCAAATGAATCAAATTTCAATTCTTTCATATTTTGTTACCATTGAGGTGGTCAATAAGCAACACAGACGCTCCTGATACGATCAAAGTAGTTTGGCCAACCTCACTGATACCGTAATTAAATGAAAATCTTCCTAACTGATGAAATAAAATGCTGAAGTTCACACACCATCACTTGAATTTGAATTTGTTACTGTCGATAGAAATGCAAATGACTCAGACTGAGAACACTGAATTCATCTGATTAGTCGGAATAAGTTAATTAACTGGATTGATTAAATTGTATTTAGAAAGCAGACAGTAAGCGTTAACATAAAGAAGAGTTATTTAAGTAAATGTTTTCATGAATTCCACTGCACATCAATATATATTTCAGTAATATGCAGAATACACGTTTCCGATGCTAGCATGAGCAGGACATTCACATTCTTGTCTAGTTTCTCCCGCCTACTCCTGTAGAGAAAATAAAAGCAGATGAGCATTTATGATTTCATGAGAAGGTAAACGAGGCTGAATGTTACGAGTATTGAGAGAGACACATTAATGAATCGATAAGTTTTGACTACCGATGTAAACTTTAGGACATGAAGAACAAGCAACGCCTGTTGTGAACATTATTCCACACCCAGAATCACTGAGAGACAGTGAATCCAGTAATCCTGATCCATTCATTATATGACAGATATCGCAAATTCAGTCATTCGCAATAATGCAGGTGTGGATGTGGGTGCGGCTGTCAATGAAGGTGTATTGGGAATGTCCGACATGGTTCGAATCGACATGACCACAACTAGTGTTCAGCTGTGAAGAAGTCGTCGGTTGAGTTTTGTGAATGCCAAATCTGAGATACACTGCATGATTGTCTTCACAATACTAAGTGTGATTCCATATGATATGATATTACATGAATAAAATGATGATGTACCGATACATGCAACTCTTGTCTCTGGTGCTCGGAATACAAATAATACTACTTTCACGTGGACTGCATTTCAATTTCAGTTATACACAATTATCCAAAAAGATGAGATTGCAGTTTCTCTCATGATTCAATTTTGAAAAATGAAATGTGGGAGTTCGTATGAGAAAGAAGGTAAATCTTACGTGTCAACTTCTCAGCGAGAGTTTCATGAATTTTCTTGAGCACTTGAAAATGAAACAGCAATGTAAAAGTGACGTGTTAGTTGAAGGAAAGCAAGCCTTGTTCATCAGTATATATATATATATTCCTTCTCTTACAAAAGATTATATCTGATCAGTAGTAATAAAATACGCTGAATAAGTGTGTGTGTATATACAAATCATTTTATGAAAAACATTTCATGCTCAATCATTCAACACTGCTCGTGTATTGTGGTAACACTCATGTGTTAGGTAGTTTACTGGTATAGAACTGAAGGCGGCAGTTATTCCAAAATCTGCGTTGTGATGACGATTCACTGTTGTTATGGTTGTTGATTCTGATTTTGACAAATGTGACGGCTGGTCTCCAAGACACGTATAAACACACGTGTGAACACATCGGACAGTTTCTCCCCAACCGATCACTTTCTCTTAAATTTACTCCATTGTCAGGCAAACACTCATAATGATCATGTTCCTTCTTTGCATTTTCACGTTGCACAACAGAGTAGTAGTCACTTGTGTGTGGATGTGCATAAGGTCAGCCTTTGTGCAAATAAACTGTCACCTCCGAATATTTTGATGATTTCTACTTGGGAAGTGATCCGTTTGTCGACATTTCAGATTATTCTAGCTTTCTGTGGTCGATTGGCATTCTTCAGTGTTTAGACCTATATACAACTGAGCGTCGCGCACCAACTACTAAGTGATGCACAGCTCTCCAAGAACCTGCTTATTCCAAGATAATTCTATTATCGATTTCGGTTTTAAATATATAGCGATTATCAAGCCAATATTATTCATGTTATCTAAAGGAGTTTCGCACATAAAACGATCGCTGATTACACAGAATATCACGTAATTGTTTGTGCTTTAATTCTGTGAATTGATATTCATGCATAAATGCAGTGTGTAAAACTCATGAACAAAACATATTGAACTTACACATAATATTACCAAAGAGCATTCTGCGGCGGTATGAAATTTCTATATTACTCTTCAATTCCTGAAGATCTGAAATTTGAAGAATAATGTCTGAATTTCAAAATTGAATATCACAGAATCAAAAAGTGAAAAGTGATCATGCAGAATACTGTGCAATAATTGATGGTTTGGTTTAGTGTGTTGTTGTTTAAGCAGACGACTACGTGTTCATTCACTTCAATGTCGATCATTGAACGTCTTTGAAGACAGTGAAAATACTTTCGAGAAACCCTTAATCCCCTCTCGTTATGTGTTGAATTCGCATAATATTGACTCCATCAGTGTCAGGGGACTAAAAAATCAACCTTATTTGTCAATATACAGGAGTGTTCAAATTGCATCAAATGCAATCTCAACTGCGTCAGATAGTTTCATAGACTTCAGATTTCACGTCATTGCACTTTAGAGATGTAATGTGTGATAGCGACATTGGAAGGAAAGCAGTCTGATTTCACACTTGATGATGCATCCTACACATTGGTAGTTCAACTTCGAATTCATTGACAACGCCACCAGATCGAAAGGTATGTGAATCCTGTGAAAGAAACTCATCTGAGAATTCATTTGACTTCCGAAAATGGAACTAATGAAATTCAAAAATTTTTCACAATATCCTCCAAAGCAGTGATCTTACATAATTTAATTTAAGAGTGTTGTCATTAGTAGATTACCTTTTTTGTTTCCTGATGGTTTATAATGTTCACAGTCGACTGCTGCTGATACTGATCGCCATTGACCTGATGAAGAAACAGAATGGAAGAACAGCATATTGAAACAAAGAGAAGGGAAACATTCATTGAAGTTACCAATAATAATAACAAATACTCATGCAACTACAGACCCATTGAATGTAAAAACACACACAAATCAATGTGTACTAAGTTATCTGGAGTTACAAATCTCCAATCTGAACTCTGTGGTTTGTGTCTGAGATAATCAGGTGGGTTCAAAACTCAAGTTGATGCCGACGTAACTGACAAGTTAAGTTAGGAATGTTTATTGGAAAAGTGAGAAGGAAGGATTCAAAGCTAAACTGTTTACCTGTGTGAGCATTGGCCTCTTTCTTCATACATTGTCGGAGAGAATGTTTCACAGTGAAGGTACCTGTATGTAAAATGTATTTTAAACAACATATCAACTCATGTTCATTATATTCTGAAGGTTTTGTCAGATAAATGAGTGAGTTTATATCTCTTATTGGTGAATGATTCAGATGCTTCTATCAGAAATATTCTGAAGCGACCATATGGACTAAGGTAACTGTCTTTGATAACTCTGGTTTCAGATTGTGCAGTAACACAATGATGAATGTTTTTCACAAAATGGCCTGTAAAATATACGATCCAATTCCGGTGGTCATCATGTACACTGGAAAACCCACTATCATTGAGTAGTAGTAATTCTGATAAATTGTTTGAGTAAAAATTCAGGGAGCTTTTTGCTGGAGGGATCAGGGAGAGTATGGAAAGACGGTACGATGGTTGGTAAATAGAGGGTGAGCGTAACGCAATTCGAATATGAATTGACTACACGATACCCAGGGATAACTTCATCGCTTAAATGCAGTAGTTCCTTATCATATGACATATGTTAATTTCGGTTAACTAGATGAGGCGTTTACAGGCCAATGAGTAACACTTATAACACATTGAGGTAGATAATTGTTTGTCGAATTCCATGCGGTTGTCGCTGTTGAACAAACTCAATGAATGCATTGTAACTCGAGAAGCATTGTCAACACTCAAATTATATACTGGATGTAGATAAAGTGACAACAACATCACATGAAGTCAACTGAGTTAAATTCAATTTACCATAATCCTCAGGTCCGTTTTTGGCCTCTATAAAGACAGAAAATGATAACTGACATTAGGAGATCATGCAAAAGAATAATTCGTAATGCAGAGTTTATAACTGTAATGTATGTGGATTAACATCAGAGCTGACTAATTCCACGGTATACTCAACCGTAAATTGTCAATCTCTTCTATTGATTATCACAATGTAATTACACTGACCAGCTCAAAACACCCAGTTCTCGTGAAATTTATTATTCATAATTACATCTAAAGACGAAAATGATTCTCTTCAATCGTTCACTTTCCATTAGGTTGTTCTCCATGCAGCTTCACGATGAATAACTTTATCGAGTCAATGAAGTGTTCATTCCATCGGAATGTTTAGTTGACGTCATTTGCCTAATGATCGATATCGGCGACTAAACCTACATAAATGACGCGTGACATCAGAGTTTCGAACATGGTGATCCAAATGGAAGGATCAGATAGTGTGTGCGACAAACTGGGATGTAGATTGAAGCAATTTGATAACATCTCGAAGAAAGCAGAAGTGAATTTCCCGAAAATGCATCCTTTTTAACAGCTTCAATGGATAACATAGCTGTCAACATTAAATCAGAGAGCAATCTCATTAGATAAGATAATTGTTTCAAGTCCGCAAGTGTAGTTTTATAGTTGTAGGATCTCACTGAATTGTTCTGGCTGCAAAGTTGCCATCTTCAATCCGAATTTGGAACATTTCAAACAAGAGCAACAACCAAAACTCATCCGGTACCCATGCAAATAAAGGCAGTATATACAGCTGAAGTATATCTTGGAACATACCTTCGAATAATATGTGTCCAAAGTAGTTTTCATAATGCGTTCCCCAACAGCTGATATCTGAAGGAGTTTGTTAGTCATAGAAATTCATCAAACCATCACTCACAGTTCTCAATGGTGCTGTTGCCTTTTCCTCCAGTTTCAAGAATAATCTTATCTAGTGAAAGAGAGGAGTGATAAGATCGATTGCAAGACACCGGACACCTGCACAAAATTCCACATTCATCATGTAGGAAACAGTTAGTTATTTGGCTATTATTGGAGCACCCCTACACCGTATTGTATTCATTTTACAACAGAGTGAATGTCATGGACATGAACGTGTGAAATTTCCGATTGAAGCGAATGTGAATAAATGTGAAGTGAATTGGGAAGTCAGGTAGATGCGTGTTGATAAGTCCATCATTTTTCGCGTGGCACTAATATATTATCCTCATTTGAGTATATCTCATGTCAGCTGGCTCCATGTATTCACAATATCAAAAGTCAAAGCATTGACACGAAATAGCCTATAGGTAAAAACTCCAAAAAATATAACAAATATCTCATGAGAACAGGGGATGCAGAAATCGAGGAGATCAAGTCAAATTATCAATCACATTGAAATAAATGTTTACCTTTCAGTTGTTTAGTCGCTGCTTCTCTTCTGATAACCATCTGAGCTATTTGGAGTAATTGGTCTATTAAAAGGAAAGCGAAAATTATTTAGCATCGATTGTTGAAAGCAATAGGATGTGACGAAATATTGAGGAACAGTACACACCCAAAAGCTAGTGTGGGTTAATATAAGAACAATGATATTTATCCACATAAAGTCAGTCGTCTTACTTCGAGCATACGAAATCGCATTTTTGATGTCTTCTAACCTAGTCGATTCACCTTGAAAATTGACAAAATGAAGAGAACAGCCATCGTTATACACACCGTAACTTTAATAACAAATGAATACTATGTAAGAATTTGTTAATTTCAGACGCCTGTAGTGCCATTTGAGTACTTTTATTGGATTCGTGATCTAAAACACTCTAATGAGCAGAACACCAGTTGAAGGATTAAACTTCCCAGACAGCATAGAACTGAATGTTTGCTGCACTCATTTCCTATTTCGGAAATGAAGAGATCGTCGACATCGAGTTATTATTCGTCAATGACGGAAAATGATGTGTTTAGGCGATACTGAAAGTGGTGTTGGTGACATAATCACTTTTCCTTCAGTGGTATGATCACGGAATAGTCTTACATAACACTGATTTGATAAAACAATTACGTTCATCATATTGCAGAACAGAATAATTTGAAAAGATTGAGTCAAAAATGCACAGTCATTTCAATATTCGCTTACCCTCGTTCATGGTGGCAAACACCAGCAGCGTTATCATGGATATGTAAATGTAAATTGAGTTGAACATATTCTCACCTTCCTTAGCTTACTCTGGTCCAATTCTCCAGCTTTTATATTCTTCCTGATGGTGAGTTGTAGTGTTGTAATGCGTTTGTTGGTTGATAAATAGTAGTAGTGCTTATCTTGTTTTCCATTTGTTGAATGAGGCGAGTGTGTTGATTAGTTATTGGTGGTTGGTAAAGTCATTTGATGAGTGAGTGCGTGGGTTGGTTGGTTGGCAAATGTTCAGCATCACTTTAGTATTCTTGTTTTCACGCTACAATCAATATTCTCTCTTAGTAAACAAGTCAGTCTAATAGAACCATTCCTGCTAGATGTCGATGAAACTCAAGTGTGAGTTTAGTGTTGATTCATTCGGTTAATTCAAAACAATTCAGAGCAGAAAATTTTCTTCATCGACGAAGTCATCTTCGGCGGCTGTACAGTCGTATTCATATTTATCGAAAATGCTTATTAGTCCATTAGTGACTGAGTAGTAGGGTTGACATAATTTAGAAAAAGTAATTGGAAGTGGCTTCAAAAGTAAAAATAAACGCTTCAAATAACGTTATAGTTAATGACACAATGGAAGGAAGCGTCAGAAATTTTGCTGAGGTTGAAATTGTTATTGAGTGAGAAAGGAAGATAATTTATTGGTCATTAAACAAGTGTGAGAAAATGTACAGAAGGAACATGTGAGAGTGATAATAGTTAATCTATTAATAAAGTAGAAGCAAAGTTATCATTTTAAATGGAGAATCAACAAGAAACGAATAATGAAGAAGTCAAGATCGTGCTAGAATAACAGACTTGACAACCACATTCTGTATGCAGAGTTTCGGTTTGCATTCACGAATCGCTAACGTCTCCGCGTTACACAAATGCTGAAACCTGACACCCGTTGTATAATTTCACCTCACCTTGTAGATCATCTCGAAAGACGAACCTGTCATTGTGTGGCTTGAGTGGCCCGACAAGTGCTCGAGAATTCAGCCAGTAATTGCATTGCATTGTCTTTTTGCCAATCATGCCAGATAATGTTCACAGATGCGTTTGGAAAGTGTGCAGTTAGTGCAGCCAATATAACTAGCTTGACAGGAACACACATTCAATTAACGGCACTTCGTCATATATAAATCCATTGCTCATTGGTCGGCATAAAAATGTGATCCGTGATATTGATAAGAATTTCTTAAGTAAACTGGCTGCGGCATCACCTTTAAATTCAGCGTTCATGAATAGCAGTTTCTTCGGCACCGTCTGAGTCCTTTAGGGTTTTCCCTTTCCTCTCATTTATTCCTCAAAGAATCTTCAAGGATACTCGTTTTCCATGAGGACTCATCTGAGTGTCATCAGTTCACCATCGATTATATCAGAGGCAAATATCCCGGATATCCTTGAGGATGAGGAGTGCATCAGAATCGACCTACTTCTGAAAGGTGACCATCGATGCAAATTTAGGTATTGAAAATTACATCACAATGTCCTGTAGATTGATTCTCAGAGACAAGAGTCAGAATTCCGTTGAGAACTCTCCCAGAATTTCTCCGGGATTCTATTTCGCGATCACTTGGCGCAGACGTGATTGTGGAGATGACAGAAATAATTCCAGATTATCACCATAACAAATGACCTTTGTGAATAATTGTTCAAACAAAGAGCCTTGCAGAATATCAGTTGTGATGTTTTCAAGCTAACGGGTCTTCATAAGCTACAATAGATGATGTTTGCTTTGAATACACTATGGTGACTGGTGTCTCCTCACTTATCACCTGGTGTAAACTCAGATTCCTTGATTGAAATAATTTTAGAAATAATGATTATGGCTGATTCTAATATCTGGTTATATTCCCTCAAACAGCTATCACAATTATCAGAAGACGAAAGTTTCTATTCAGTACTTTGTGTGGTTATTATCTCACTGAAACTGTTGAAGTGAATTCGAGGAAGGTGGATGAGAAATTGTGAGTGATATTGCAATTGTGTGTAGAATCAGTATTTTCGCTGTAAGCATGTGATGTGAGTAGCTACGTCACTGCCTTGAGTCATATCACAATATCTCACAGCCATCTTCGCTGATATTTATATGCGATTCAGTGTGATCCTTCGCTTCTCTATCCTGTTTAAACAGTCTGATGCTGATTGCTTTAAAGAGAAGTGAAGCGAACCAAAGTGAAGTTAATGAGAATGTTTAGAAATGATAGAGATGATTTGTAGCTCAGGTGGATTATTTTGATGTGGTTGTCTTCTCTGAGCTGGATATTTAATTTGCGAGGCTTTCATCATCCTACTAGGTGACATCTTCAGCGTATACTTCAATTTGAAGCGAGCTTTTAGATTTCTCCACGAGTTTATTAATCATCTCTCCTGGCGACCACCTTGGACGTGATTGGTTGTTTTTGTGTGTTTTCACACCTTCTAGGTTACTTGTATTGTCACTCATTGTTTCTTTGACTTGAACTTTGACCCTTTGTGTGTGACTATTCTTTCTTATCGGTTGATAAATTTTGTCTATCTCGATGTGTTTATTGATTGATGATTCACTGGAATACCAAGCTTCTAAAAATTCTCTAGCATTCTTGGTGTTTCCTCTGTCTAATATTTGAACGTTGTCCCAGTCGAATTGATTTCCGTGGTTGTCTGTATGTAGTGATATGAGGGAATGGATATCATGTCTTTTGACAGCTCGCTTATGTTCGTGGATACGAAGACGAAGGAGACGTCCACTTTGGCCAATGTAGTGTTTTTCGCAGTTGATACAATCTAATTTGTAGATGATGTTGGTTTTATCTTCCTTCGCTGTTGAGTCTTTTGGTTGACATAGAACCAGCTGAGTGAAGTGATTTTGTTGGTTTGTGTGCGACGTCAATTCCTAAAGGTTTGAAGAGTCTTGTAGTGATTTCTGAGATGTCTTTTATATATGGTAAGGCGATTTTCTTTGTGCTTTCCCAGGGGGCTTTTTGTTTGATAGGCTGGCTTGGAGGTATATGTCTTTTGATGAAATTCCTTGGATATCCATTCTTTTGGAAGATGTCCATGAGATATTTTTCTTCAATTTTCCTTGAGGTGGGAGTGCTGCAATGAGTCCTGCCTCTCTTGAATAGTGTTTGTATGCAATTCCTCTTGTGTGCTATTGGATTGTTGCTGTTGTAATTCAGGATTTGGTCTGTGTGGGTTGATTTTCTATAGACTTGAGTTTCTAATTCCACTGTCGTTGTTCGCTTGACTTAGCTTTATCTAACTCGTTTCTTTTGATAATTACGAATGTGTCGTCTACGTAACGTATCCAAATCTTGGGTTTGATCTTTGGTAGAATTATGTGCTCACGGACATGAGTGATCATTGATGCTGGCTCTTTCTCTTCTTCTTATCAGAAGAGATAGTTGATAAGCTCATCGAGAATTCCATCAGCTCACTCAGTATTGAGATATGTTCTGCAATACGTTTTGTAAGGAATTGGATTTCTACATGCATTCTTCTCTTCAACAGTTAGATAGCAGCGGCGTTAACCATAAAACTTGTCTATATTGTGACATGAATGTTGAAGCGCTGAAAAGGTTTCAACTTATTCAACTCGAATTTATTACTTCCGTGAATCCATATTAAAACATATGACCTACTAGTGTTCAGTAATCATGTCCAGACTAGGGGAGATGAATTACCAATGCTATGATGGAATGTCTATATATTTCGCAAATCTCATGTTATGATTCCGTGTGCATCAAGTACAGTGCTGGTGATGAAGTCGTGAAATGTATAGGAATGTTACAACCTTAATTTCACATTATGTGTGAGTGATATTGAATTTGACTTAGGCAAGAGATCTGGTCATTTAGCTCCTTGTTTATTTCTAATTTCCTAAATTATACATATTCACTCTTTCGTCATTGACAAATTGAGCCTCAACATCAGAATGATTCGATATCAACAATGGCTTCTCGGTCTGAATGTTGTTTGGAAAACGATAGCGCATCCTGTTATCCCGCTGAAATTGTTGATGGGCTCTGTACCTACTTATTACTTTCAATCTGCCATCAGCGATAGATATTCAGTCATTTAAATTACTGAAACTACCCACAACAATCAGGCGGTGTCTTAGGAGGAAAAAGTTAAACCTTGTGAGCAGTCACAGAGCCAACTGTGGCAAGCTGCAGAGGATATGGTGAGATGGAGTTTTGTCGCTGAAACCTATTTGGTTTTTTCAAAGTTCAAGTTAATAACAATACATTAAATAAAAATTCATCAACAACATCATCAAATTATGACTTATCTGAATCAAAATACAGTGTCTCTTTGCAATACTCAAACAATCTGCATTCAGTATTTGAAGTGATCAAAGTTGTGTGCAGTCGCATCTTCGTAGTTGCATTGGTTTTATTTTTTCTTATCTGTACTGAATTTCTATTTAATCAAGAAATATTCGCAATGTTGTCATTGTAGGTGGAGTATTCAACGCAAAAGTTCAACTGGAGATTTAGGGATTTATTGGATGCAGTTACCTAGAAATTTGTTTACATCAGACGTCAGCTCTCCACAAATTACAGGCGAAATTTTGGTGAGAGTCCGAGAAAAATTCAGTATGAATATTGACAGAAACTCTTTTCACAGCCGAAAAGATCCGAAAGTACATCACAAGGTTAGTGGGGAGATGCAAATTATGCAATCACTGCGTTTTTTGTTTTGCAGTGAGACCGAAAAACTCCTAATTATTTCTGTTCACATAGCTACGTTAGCTCAGGTTTCCGAAAAAGTCATAATACTGCATATTCTTTGAATGATAACGATTGAATCTCATCTTCCAACAATAATATGTTCGGCAACAATGATTTCTCATCCGTGTGATGTTACCTCACAAAAGTAATATATCCTCGTGATATCCTCATTAGGGAGAAAAAAATAACGAACACCTCACCCAAGTAAATCTATCAATGAATTTCTGCGATACACAGATAACACTTTTCTGACTGGATGAGAAAGTCAAACTAGGAGAAGTACTCTTTCTCACCTTCTGCTATTGTGATTGACAAACTCTACACTGAAAATAATCTATGCATCACAGGTTGAATGAAGTTCACGCGAAAAACGATTTCACTACAGAATGGATGTGAGTAAGTGACGTATCTCCGCGAAAAGTTTC